AGTAGTGGAGGAGGGGAGGTGGCTGGAGGTGCAGTGGTGGTGGAGGAGGGGAGGTGCAGTAGTAGTGGAGGAGGGGAGGTGGCTGGAGGTGCAGTAGTAGTGGAGGAGGGGGGGTGGCTGGAGGTGCCCTGGTGGTGGAGGAGGGGAGGTTAAAGAGAGCTTACATCAGGAAGAAAGAGCAGCTTTTGAAACTGAATGTGGCATCAATTGTACAATACTGCTGGATGTGATTCAACTATGGAATGATATGATAACTGCATTCACTTCCAGTAAAATGTTTTTGGGAAAAAACTGTAAAATGTCCCCTAAGAATTGTGTCTTCTGAAAATATTGGTTGGGGCAGTTAATTTAGGCAGAAAGGACAGCTCAGGTTATGGCAACTATTGTGTCGGATTGCGAAGAGGGCAACTTTATATATGTACTCAGTAGACGAAGGTCAATCTACGATGTTTATCATGAAGACGTTTTCAGAAAATTGAAAGTTGCATTGGTAAGAAAAGACCAGTAATGCTGCACTGAGGAATTTTTTTCCATCATAACAATACACCTGGTCATTCTTCAGGGTTAATAAGAGCTGTCCTGTGAGATCTTTTCGAGAAACTATCCCATCTACCACACAGGTGTTTATTTTTATTCTTTTAAAAATGTTTTTCTCTTAGTTAAATATGATGTCAAAGTGTATTTGATGATTGACACCTCTGAAATGATATAATTTAATCTGAAATACTATTTAAGTTGCTGTATGTGCCAGGGAATACACATTTTCTGATGTCCTAGCTTATATAATTATTGAGTATTGACACTGAGGATAGTGTGTCAATGGTTGACTTCAAAAATTACTTTTGATTTCAACGTACTAAAAATAATTGGAACTTTTACCATCATCACTTCTAGAAGTTCATTTTATTAAATATCAAACTAGAACTTTCAGAGTATCAAGAAGATGTGCTTTGGGTAGGCTAATGATGGCAGAGAAATGACATGCTGGAATATTAGAGCATCTCCAGTTTCTACGTATCCTTTCCATCATATATTCCAGATGTCTTTTTCTTCATGGTTGAACTCATAAAACGATGATTTCTAACAGGGTGAGACAAAAACCCTCTTACGCAATGTGGTTTTAGTGGCATTTGCTATCTGTTAGCACTACGTTCCCCAGCCAATCTTAAATTCTGTAAAGCCAATGCCTTTAAGCACATTTTAATTTAGTAATGGAACAGCTGAGTTTAACACACTACTCCACATTTATCTTGTATGTTCAGGTGTACATGGAGTATATAAAATATTTATTGTGATTTTATGGTTTAACAAAAACATTCCATAAGAATTTTAGACTTCTAATCTAAGCACGTTCAATATTATTTGTCCTATTTAACTAAGAATTCCATTATTCTCTTAATATAGTCCAGGTATGAAAGCAGCTGCTTTGCACTCTGACCTGTTAAAATGTGAAGTCCTTGGAAACCAAAGCAAGAGGCAAACATCTGCTTAAAGCCATGTAAAAATTGATAATGAATTGTGACTTTCTGCCATGGAAATGAAATCACATAATTCCTAAAGTTATGATAGTTCTGAGTAACAGCAAAGCATTAGAGTATGTTGATGAAACAATACCTTTTGTATTCAAAATTAGCTGAGGTGGTGAATATTGTAATCGTATTATGAATGCCTAAAAAGGCCTGGCCAAGAGTAATGATTTAATTAGGTCCTCTGAAAGGTCTCTTTATTTATTTAATATCTAAAATACTCAGAATCAGCAAAACCCCGAGAAACAAATATCGTGTTTCAGCTGCAGCGTAGTGAAAATAATGCTAGTTAAAAATATTCTGCTCTCCTGAGGAACCGCACAGACAAAAGCACGTGGAAGGAATTCTAAAAGTAAACAGCCATAAATTGCAAAAGCATTTTACAACCTTAAATAACATTTTCAATAACAAGTATGGTACCATCAAGCAAAGTGTGAGTATCCTGGCCCCATGACAAACATAGCAATCTTGTTTATGAAAGGGAACAAGAGACTGACAGGGTCACGTGTTTCTGAAAGATGTGTATCTCGATCCAACACATGTTTCAAATGATATTTAAATTGAATTCAACATGTACATGCTGCTATTTTAAAATTGTGATTCTTTTGCCCATACTTGATTTTCCAGTGCCCTGTGAGAGTTTCTCCAACACAAGAACATTCATATATTAGATTTATTAATTAAGGAAAAGTACAAATAATAAGGAATATCTCTACACATAATTGATGACCTAAATAGTCTTAATGTTGTAAATAAGCTTATCTATCTGTCGAAATCAATCTGTCAGATAGCTGTATGACAATTTAATGCTACCCACAAAGTAAGAGAAATCACATGCATTATAGATCCTTACTGCAACTCAGACTGAAGGATGAGAGACACCAGAGTCATGGTTTGGTAAGAGATTAGCTATTTTCTCCTCCAAATGCAGCTCCATAGTTGGTTGTGGAGAATAGAATAGGAAAGGGAGCGAAGGGTTATCTAAAAGCATTGTTAATAATGTAAATCACTCAAAACCCAACTCTTATTAAAGAAGGAAAAACAGCAGCCGAGAACTCCGAATAGCATTGGAAGCCTCATTAACCATTTTCTCTGGCTGACCATTGAAATAGTCAGCACTTAATTAAAACTTTAGGGACAAGATATTCAAAAAGGAATGCACACGCTTTGACTTAAAAAAAAAAAAAGGCCTCAAGCAGTCCTTTTTCTGTTTGTTTTCCACAACTATATCTTCTTTTTAAAAATGTTATAGGTGTACCTACACACTCCCTTATACCCTCTCTTGCCCCGTCAAGTATTCACTGCACAGATTCCAGACTGGACAACTGTATTGTATGTAATGCTATTTACTTTTCAATCCTAGTCCCACCGTGCATATGCCGACAACGTCCCCGTCTCCTCAATGAGCAGCAACCCTACCGCCCTGTGCCCGGTCTAGCAGTTCTTTAGAGGCTCCCACATCTCACCGGTAGCAAACTTCTGGCCTCTCCTACATCTCTTCACGTTTCATTCAAGTTTTTAACATTGTTTTTACATACTAAAGCACCTAAGTGATAAAACCTTATGGTTATTTACTTATATTTTAAACTTAAAGAAATAAAGAAAACACACTGAAAATTCAATTGGGACAAATATCTAGGGACAGACTTAGGGATTTTCCCACTGCTTTCAAATCACCAAAATAAACATATCTCAAAGGGTGAATTTGAAAAGACTTCGTACACACACAATGCTTACTGAAACAGACACACATACAGAAAATGCAGACAGAAAAATAAGCATGCAGACAGCATTGCATTTATATTGATGCTTTTTGTAATCTTGAAAAAAACAAATTAGGCAAACAAAATAGCATCAGGAGGAGAGTATTAAAACAGTCACAGATTGGTGTCTCTTTTAAATAAATGGTTTTTAAGAGAGAAGTATGATGATTAAAAAACAAGCTTCTTGTCCCTACCCACAGTCAGTCCTGGGCCTCTGGGGCTCGGCTCCAGGGAGTCCCTCTGGGACTTGGGGGGTACAGTGAATGGTATGACCCTTTGCTGGGCATGCCAACACAGAAGGGGATGCTGGACCCCTCTAGGGTTTCCCGTATGGGCTCCAATAAATTTCTTCCCTTTCGCTTAAAAAAAAAAAAAGAAACTTCCAAGTAAAATGTTATTATTGATTCATTAAAGCTTGTACTTAGCAATCTCACTGTAATTATAAGTTCCAGGGAGCGCTGAGTTAACTTAAGAAAGATAGTTATACTTAAAATGATTACTAATTCACTTTTAGAATAAATTATAGGAAACACATTAGAAATATGATTATTTAGCATGAAATCAATATGTCTATCATATGTGTTATTTCTGCTCTTTTTCCAAGTGAAAAACAAATAAATGTCATGACTTGAAATATTTAAATATATATTGTCAATGACAAGCTTTAAAGAAATAATATATTTTTAAAATTATAGCTGATAAGGTCTCATATCAATAAATAGCAATAGCATGACAGTTGCAATGTGAAAGAAAAAGTTAGTAAAGTGTGTCATTTAAGGGGCAAAATATTCTCTCATAATAAAGCAACAGTGATCTAAATATGTATAATTTTGCCACTTCATTCTATTAGTTAGAATTTAGCAAAATTTATGAATAAATAAATAATGACATTTCTATATTGAGTGTTCAAATTAATTGATAATCTATTTAGAATTTCTTGACCTTTTAATATTAAAATGATTAATCTATAAGCAGCTTAACTATAGGTAAAAATCAAGCTTTTAGGTATTCCTAGAGTTTTCATGAATGTAAGGGAATTAAATTCTCTCAAATTGGGCTTGGTTTGTGGGGAAAGAGGAAGGCTGACTGGTGTCTTGAGAGGTTAGTTCTCTTTCTGCAACTCCAGACAATTGACTAAGTCCTTGCCCAGCACAAAGGTGAAAATAAGCTATGAATTGTTTTCATTGGAAAAGTAAAAGATAAATTTTATAAGCTATGTTGATAAGCACATCAATTTTACATAAATAAAATGTGCCCCAAACATTTAACATTCACCAGTAGGCACAATATTTCTGTCCATTAAAGGAATAAAAAATAATTTGTATAGCTAAGTAATAGCCATCACAATATGCAAAATTATGATAGAATTATTCATTTCATTATATATGCTATATTTTATATAAACAGCATCACCTTTCTACATTTACTTGCCAATCACTCCATCTAATTTTTGTAAACATTGTATGTAATTTTTTTACGGTCACCTGTATACACATACAATGACAGAGTTACAAGATAACATTAAGATGCTATAATTTTAAATGGTTTGCTATTTTCACCTATAAATGCACATTTAAAAATCAATACATAGCTGCTATGAAGATAGATTGCAATTGAAATGATTAAGCTATTTTAAAAAGATGTACCTGCATTTTTATTATTATTTGAAAAAATAAAAGAATCTGGTCAAGAAATTTGAAATGCAACCAATGATGAATTGAGTTATAAATTACTCAAATAAATGAGTTATTTGTTTGCCTGCCTCTGTTTTAGCGTCGTAATATTACGTTTTAAGAAGTAATGCTCTTTGTAGAGAAGTACACGGCACTTAACCTAGATTATTGAGTAAGGAAGCATGTCAGGGCGTTTGATAAGCTGCTGAAATATAAAGTTTCCGAAATTCAGAAGCAGGCTCTGAGCTACCTCATCAGCATCCAGGGCTGTCAGTTGCATGATCTGAGAGCCGTCTCCAATGTTCTCCTCAATAGTGAGGTCGAGCATGTCTGTTGGGAATACCGGTGGGTTGTCATTGATATCCTGAAGTGTTATTTCCACCTACGAAGAGAGAAAGAAACAAGGAAAAATGACCTACTTATAAGTCCACAGACTATCATCCGAAATGCATACCAAGAATTGACGCCACTGTGCCTACCAAAATAACTGAGCCTTTGGAAACAATAGAAAGTGATAGGAAATCTTTAAGGACAGTGTAACATCTAACTAGAGATCATTTCACTTGTTGATACTACCAAATTTTAATGGCAGTCATGGAATTCAAGCTAGAAAATGTCGCTTTAATAAACTGTCATTTTAATCCCCAGTTTTGTGCGCCGGTGAAGAACTGCCGAGTGTTGGGACCATTCATCATTCAATCATTAAATGTCATTTTGCACATAGAATAGGTGTTATAAAATGTTTGCTGAAACATTTAAATATTTGCAACTCATGTCTGAGCGAAAGATCAAGACATTTTATTTTAAGAAACATTCAGCATTTTTCCCTTTAAAGTCAAACCTCAGCCTTTTATTGGACAATGGGAGATACACATAACTTCTTCTCTTTCTAGTCTTGCTATCAGCTCTTCTTATTTATGACGAAGGCGAAACACTCATTCCTTTCAGATGCAGTGTTTATGTAGGCTGCAAATATTAACAGCTTTGTTTGAAAGCTCCTAGCCAGAGCTATTTGTTTGTTTCCCTGCCTAAGACAAATTGTTTAGAGAGAAGGCTTTGTGATACCTAAATAATAACTTCAAACCATGTGTTTTCTCTTTTAAGCCAGGTGCTAAAAGCTGAATCTCTCATAAGTAAAGGGAAGACAGCTGCTAATAAAAATGAAAGCTTCCCCAGTTGGGTCACAAATTAAGTCATGGAGAAAAACCCCATCTAGGCATTAAGCTAGGATAGAGCCAGGGCATTTTTCTCATAGGATGAAATTTCATCTTTCACTGCTATGTTGTAAAGAAACTCCATCAGATTCAAGGGTGATGCACAAATATGAGATGAGGGTTGGGAGCAAACCCATTCTAGTTTCTCTTTTTCCAGGAGTTGGAGGCGTGGGGGCTAGAAGGTAGAACTGTCATTATTCTGTGACAAAGAGTCAGTGGGGAATATAGAAGAGTGCAGCAAGAAAATGTTTTTTAAAATATTAAAACTTAAAAAAATCCAAGAAAACTATATGCAAAATGTTTTATTAACCAATAGTAGCCTTCTAGTGCTACCGGTACGTAAGAGTTTTTCGTCATAAGTGCATTGACCACATTAGTAAAGGATGGTTAAGATGGACAGTCTCAGAAGTTAGAATCCGGCCTCTCCCTTTGGCTAGGAGTCATTTTCTATACCGCCTCCTTCAAGAAAACCTCCCAAACAGCCTGAACTGCAGCCCACAGGAACCACGGCCTGAAGTCTGGCAGTGTCGTAAAGATCACGAGCTTTAGAATGATCAAGGCTAGAATTCAGACTTTGACTCTGTTTTTTTATTAGATGGGTGAACATGGCATTTAATTTCTTTTAGGTTCAGTCTCCTCATTGTCATTTTTTTCTGGGACAGAGGGGAGCGCTCAATAGAGAGTAGAAATCTTGGTTTTCCAACTGTCCAAATAAGCCCGAGTCCCTTAGAGCTAGTGATAGCCGATGGACAGGGAGTTGAATACAAAAGCACCCAGGACAATCCATGCTTCGACGCCAGTCCATATTGAATGTGCACTAAGGGTTCTTTGGAGGACAATTTCAGAATAGACTTGAGGACAACTGGTTTGATTGTGTTTTTGGAATACACATCCAGTTGTTACTGCAACTCTTGGCCAACCAATGAGTTTCAGAATAGAACTGCACACTGGGTTTTCCATGGCACTGAACCTTCAAACCTAGACTTTCAAACCTTATTTCTGAGGCAGCTCTGGATAAATTCAGACTGACAACCTTTCAGTTTAAGGTATAAGGAAGCATGGAAAAGAAGACTGCATTTGAACTGTGGTGTTAGAGACCAATATTGAAACTGCCGTGGACTGCTGAGAGGACGAAGAAATCTGTCTTGTAAGAAGTACAGCCAGATGGGATCCAAGAACAGGAACGGGAACAGCGAAACCGGAAGGGCAGGGGAAGGTGGGGAGAGGAGGTGATGAAGGAAGAGCTGATTGCCATGGTCGCCACAGGACCACACACACTCCTCCAGGGAGATGAACAACAGAAACCATGGGGACAAGAGACAGCGGTTGGTGTGAGATATGAAAATAATAATAATGCATAATCTATAAAGGGGTCACAGGGTGGGGGAGATGGAAAAAGAGGAGCTGATATGAAGGGCTCGGTAGAAAAGTAAATGTCTAGAAAAGAATGATGGCAACATATGTATAAATATGCTTGAAACAATTGATGTATGAATTGTTAAACAAGTTGTAAAAGCCCCCAATAAAATGATCTTTTAATAATAATTTTTGAAAGTTAGAAAAAAAAAGTAGTAGTAGTAGTACAGCCAGAACGGAGGCAAGGATGGCAAGGCTTCATCGAATATTCTTCGGACATGTTGTCAAAAGAGACCGGTCCCTAGAGAAGGCCAGCACGCTTGGTAACCAGAAGGGCAGTGAGAAAGAGGAAGACAGTCCAGGAGATGTCTTGACACAGTGGCTGCAACAATGGGCTCAGACGTAAGAACAATTGTGAGGATGGCAAAGGGCTGGGCAGTGTTTTGTTCTGTTGCACAAAGGGTCACTCTGAATTGGAACTGACTTGAAGGCATCTGACAACAACAACAAAAAAACATAAGCTTCTGAGCTGACTGCACTGCCATGAATTTTTTTTAATCATTTTATTGGGGGCTCTTACAGCTCTTAGCGCAATCCATCCATCCATCCATCCATTGTGTCCAGCACATTTGTACATTTGTTGCCATCATCCTTTTCAAAACAGTTTCTTTCTACTTGAGCCCTTGGTATCAGCTCCTCATTTTCCCCTCCCTCCCCAACCCTCTCTCCCTCCTGAACCCTTGATAATTTATAAAGTATTATTATTTTTTCATGTCTCATACTGACCGATATCTCCCTTCACCCACTTTTGTGTTGTTAGTCCTTCTAGAAGAGACGATGTAGATCATTGTCATTGGTTCTCCCTTTCTCCCTGCCCCTTCCCCTTCCCCTCCTGCTGTCACTACTCTCATTATTGGTCCCGAGGGGTTTATCTGTCCTGAATTCCCTGAGTTGTAAACTATTATCTGTACCAGTGTACATGCCCTTATCTAATCGGATTTGTAAGGTAGAATTAGGGTCATGAGTGTGGGGAGAAGGACGCATTAAAGAACTAGAGGAAAGGTGTATGTTTCATCTGTGCTATACTGCACCCTGACTGGCTCATCTCTTCCTTGTGATCCTTCTGTAAGGGGATGTCCAATTGTCCACAGATGGGCTTTGGGTCTCCATTCTGTGCTCCCTCTTATTCACATTGATATGATTTTTTTTGTTCTGGGTCTTTGATAACTGATGCCATCCACACCTCATGATCGATCACACAGGCTTCTTCCATGTGGACTTTGTTGCTTCTCAGCTTTCTCAACTAGATGGCTGCTTATTTATCTTCAAGTCTTTAAGACCTCAGATACTATATCTTTTGACAGTCTGGCACCATCAACTTTCTTCACCACACTTGCTTATGCACCCATTTTGTCTTCAGTGATCGTGTCAGGAACGTGAGCATCACAGAATGCCAGGTTTAGAACAAAGTGTTTTTGCGTTGAGGGAGTACCTGAGGAGAGGCTCAATGTCCTGCTGCTACGTTAATACTTAACATATAAATATATGTACATAGATCTACTTCCCTATCATTATATATAAGTATATTTACATATGTACATGTCTGTACTGAGACCTCTATAAACGCCCTTTGCCTCCTAGTTATTTCATCTATTTCCTTTTACTTTCCTCTTGTCCCACAATCCTGTTCAGCCTTCATTCAGACACCCCATCAAACTTGACTGGAAAACATTCCTAATGATCAACAAACAGACCTGGAACTATTTATAGGCTTTTATTTTGTTGTTGTTGTTTTGTTTTCTTGTGTTGCTTTGTTTTGCTCTGTCTTGCTTTTGTGCATGCTTTGTCTCTGCATGTCTATCGAGATAAAATAGGTGGGATAAACATGCAGAGGAGAAAACAATGGGACTGATGGTTGGGGGGCGGGTGGGGGGACACAGGAGAGGGAGAGGTGAGGGGAGAAAGGAAGGGGAGTGTCAACCAACCCAGGGACAAGTGATCTAAGATCTCTCCTTTTTTTATTGGACTTTTCTTGGATTCTTAAAAATCATTTTATTGGTGGGTCTTACAGCTCTTATAACATTTCATACATCAATTGGATCAAGCATATTTGTACATACATTGCCATCTTCATTTCCAAAACATTTTCTACTTGAGCCCTTGGTATAAGCTCCTCTTTTCCCCCCTCCCTCTCTTACCTTCCCACCCTCATGAATCCTTAATCAATTTTATATTGTTATTATTTTATATCTTACACTGTCTGCTGTCTTCCTTCCCTCACATTTCTGTTATCCATCCCTTTGGAGGGGGGGCTACATATCCAACCTTATGATGGGTTCCCCTTTTCTCGCCCTTCCCCCTCTTCAGAAACCTACTCCCCTCATGATATCACTACTCCCACTATTGTTCCTGAGAGGTGTAGCTCTACTGAATTCCAGGTGTGGAGAGCTCTTACCTGTTGAAAGCTCCCTAATAAGATAAAGACAAGTTAATACAGAGAGAATTTGTTTGCAGCCATCTACTGATCGTAGAAACTTATTAAAAGGCTCTTAATTTGAAATAAGTCCATCCATGTATGAACTGAAAACCATAGTATTTTGTTACTTACTCTTAAATATATACACATAAAAGGCTGAAAGCCTCTTTTTTGTCTTTTATTCTAAAAATAGAATTGGTTTTCTAAAAATGTAATCATCTATGCTTTTCAAAATAAGTAATATTTTATATGAATGCATTTATGCATTTTCATACATGTAAGCATAGTACTTTATTTATAACATTTAATGAAGTATAAAGAATAGGAAATGTACTA